GAGCAGGAATTGAGGGTGAGGGGGAGGGGGACGGCGGGCAGGAATGACATATGAAGGGCTGGGCCAAAAAAGGTTTACAGTTGTTTGTATGGACAATAATACAGCAATTAACAAATAATTAACAACGCAAGAATAAGCTCTGTTTCACATATTCACAACTGTACCCGTACTTTTGCCCCACCCTGTATAATAATAAATAATTCAAGGAAGAATGTAATACATGCATGAGAAATTCCATGGGAGTTCGGAAGAGAGGAAATTCCGGGTGAATAAGAAAGGCATTATAGATGCGGTGGCATTTTGGCCAGAACTTCAAAAATGGCATGCTCGCCCATGACGAGCCAGCAAATGGGGGTCAGAGGCAGAGAGAATGTCACCAGGAAAGCACCGAGTGCTGGGAGTCTCACGTTTTCATTTGGTTGAAAGTCAAACTACACATGGAGCAGATACATTAGACAGGATACTTTCATGGAAAGAAAGAAGGCCCCAGACTCCAGGAGAAGTATGATCTGGAGCAGGTCAGAGAAGATGGATCCCAAAGCAGAAAAAAAAAACACCAAGGAAATAAAAGGCAGCAGGATCTAGGAAGGAGTGGGGGGAGAGGGGTCTGGGAAGGGAAGGGAAGAACCTGAGGAAAGGTGATAGAAGGAGAAGGAAAAAGGACAAATGGCAAAGCGAGAATGCTCAGGACTTGGGAAGCCCTCAAAGAAGACTGTAAGGCTTGAACCTGGGCCACTGCAGGGACGCTGTCCACAGGCCGGGTTTGTTGAGAGGCACACCGTGTTTTGGGGGCGGGTGGGAAGGATGACTCATATCTTGAACAAGCCGGCAATGCCTAGGAGACCACTAGAGAAGTGGGTCTGGAGATACCCTCAGTGGTGGAGCTGGAGAGGTAGACTTGAACCTTTCTTCACCTGTGAGTGCTGTTAGGGCGCGGCAGGAATGAGCGAATGGGCATGACAGCACAGAGAAGGAAGCCAGGAGAGAGCTGGGAGCCGGACTGAGAGGCTGATACCAGAAGCAGTAGAAGAAAACTGGTCAGGTGCAGTGGTCCCCCTGGCCCCCACTGTCACCAAACCTGGGGAGCAAACCTTACCAAGAAGAGGAGAGAGACCGATGGAGAGGAAATGTTGAGAAAACTGCCTTTATTGGATTAATTTTGTTAGTCTCAAAATTCTCGAAAGAGAAAACAGGCTTTTTGTCTTTCCTATGTGCAGGAGAATATTTGGTGATTCTCCTTCTCTCCTTCCTTTCTTCCTTCTTTTCCTCTCTTTCCTTCCTCCTTTTCTTCTGCTCTCTTCCCTTCCCTTCCCTCTCCTCCCTTCCTTGCACCTTCTTGTTTATTTGGTGTGACCTGAGCATGGTCAATCACCTACAACGAGTAGCTGCCTTTCTGTTTAGTATCTGTCTGCAGCGCGGCCTGAGGAGGGAGGTCTGTGCTCCAACTTTGCAACGCTTTAGGTCTTTCATAGCAGGAAATTGTATGTCTGTTTGCAATATGACATCATGAACATTTTTGTAACTTTTACAAATATAACTTTTTGCTTGTTTCTTTGTACTGGTCTCAAGAGCCGCTCATAAATCTCTCTGGAACTGCGTAGGGTCCCAGGGCCAGAGCCTGGCCCCTCCTGGCACTGTGATTAGTCATTTAATACCCAAGACAATGACTAATGCCTGGCAACCAGCTCGCCATGAGGAGTCATGTGTTCTGGGAGCCCAGGCAAAGGCACACTGGGAGCACCTTATGGTTGGGTCTTCGTACCATGGTGGAGAGGATCGGCTAGCTCCATGCGGGCACCATCAGTCAAGGGGAGACCCTCCTCCCCAGGGTCAATGCCAGCACAGTCACAGAGCTCACCATCAGTTTGAAACAAAGGTGCCCACCTTCGTCTTATCTTCAGACCCCAGCTTTTCACGTGTCCTTTTCATATGTTTACAGAAAGCCATCGACTGAGTTACCCGTGGCAAGGTTTGCGGGCTTGCTCAGCAAGGTGGAGGAGTGTTGCATTTCAGCTGGAAACACATCCCTAGATTGCCAGAACGTTTATTCCAAAGTCTGGTTTCCTGGCGCAATGGGAGGCATGGCAATCGTGTGTCTGCTCAGAGACTCGGGGCTGGGGCCAGCAAGGCACTTGATCCGAGTGTACCCCAGAGGCCTTTATCGTGAAATGACTTTCTTCGGGGAAAAACCACCCGTGTCACATTGGGTGAACTTGATATCCATACACTTTCGATGGGCATTTCTATTTTAGCTGTAAGCCTATGATTTACAGCAAGCCTGTTTTTCTCTCTTGCTTAGGATGGCAGCGGGAACCTGGGTCACTTTTCAGGCTCCGAGGATAAGGAGCAAAGGGGGCTGGAGGGTTGCTTCTACCCCTCCCCACCCCCCCGGAGTGCTGAGTCCAGCGGCTATGCCACCCCCTGCTCTCCCTGAGCAGACAGCAGGCTTCTCCCTGCCATTCATGCAGCCAGCTCTGTGCAGCAGCCCCGCTCCTGTGTCTGCCGGGAGGGGCTGCCAAGTGCCCTGCCTACTGGCTGCTTCCCGAATCCCTGCCATTCCACACACAAACACATCCACACGCGCTCTGCCTCACTCACACAGGAGCCTCACGCACACGCGGGCACATTCCTCCCTCATCCTCCTCGCTGTCTCAGCTCTCCACTCCTGCCGGCCCATGGAACCTTTCTGGGGAGACGCTTTTGACCCAGCAGGGTAGGATTGTTCTGCTTTCTCTCTTCGCAGCTGGAGCATTTTGAGAAAGCAACTTACCTTTCAGGCTAGTGTCTGTATCCTAGCAGGGAGACCAGGGTTTGCTGTTTGCTGTGAGGTGTGTGTGTGTGTGTGTGTGTGTGTGTGTGTCTCCTTTTGCTCTCAGGACTTGTAGGATTCTTTGTGTGATTTCTATATACATTTGGCAGGTTCAGGTTTGTAAAGAGCCCTCCGGAGCGCTCTTGCATGGGTTTAAAAAAGACGCTGGAAAATGGAAAGTGTGATTTACTGAAACGAAATCATCTGCAAAGAAAAAAAAATTGCTTTGGAAAGTAATGGTTGCTGGCCATAGAGAGAAATATCTGTGATTCACCTAATGTGGTTTTAACCTTTTCTTTGCTTACGATCTATAGTTACTGATGCCACGTTCGCTTTTGGCTTCACATGGAATCAGCTGTATCTGCATGTTGTCTTCCCATGATCTGTGTGTCCTCATGAGAATTATGCAAAATGTGCACTTATTAGTATATAGATATCCAAAATGATTACTATTAGTAACATCAACCTTGGAAAGTATGATATGTGTCATGAATATATTGTTAGGTAGTATGTTGAGTGTTTGGGATGGCAATTAAAGCAAATATCAATAGTTGTATCAGTCTATTAGGCTAGGGCAAAGGGAGTTTTATAAAAGTATAAACTATCCAAGATTATGGGTGCACAATAGCATATGTATATATGTATATGTATAAATGTATATATAGTGGGTGTGCTTAGCTTTTAATTCAGTTCAAAACTTTTCACTCTTTTCTTCTTCTTCTGGGCATTTGATTCTGCATGTCCCAGCCCATGTGAGCTGAGGATTGAAGAACAGAAATGCATCCTCGCATTTTAAAATTTGTCAGTTAGATCAACAGTGTTCCATAAATGCCAAAGATGTAGCTACTGACCCGAGGTTACCTTTCGTATAAAAAGGTCACATTTCAACTTCAGTTTTCTGAAGTTTTACTTGCATGACCCGTGGAAGGCAGCCACGCTCACGTGCACCTATCCAGGGGTTTTTGTAAATCTCCCTACAACACGAGAATTGCTAAGGGGAGCAAATGCGACATCGTGATCCTGCCCAAACTTACAAGTCCAGCTGGGAGAATCACAGAAAGTTGTGGCTGGAAGGGGCCCCTTGGGGAGAATTTTTCACGAGGAAACTGAGGTTCCTCAGCCTTCTCTTGATGGCAAGATACAATCCTTTCCATAGGAACCCCTTGTCTCTCCATCTCCCCCCCCCCCCAACACCCACCCCCCTTGCCCCAGATGCCTCCTATCTGTCCCTACAGCAGCTGCTAAATATAGCTGTCTGTTACTGGCTGCATAGGCACCCCCCCCCCCGCCCCCCCATCCTCACTCCTATCTCCGTTACAGAGTGGTCCTCCCCAGGGTCATTCTATGTACACACCACATACTGCCAGCCAACAAGGAGAGCGGATCCAGCCAGTGAGAGAGACAAACAGAGATAGATTGGAGTCTGGCACCGGCACATAAGGCGGCCCAGCAGAGAACGCCGGTCCCTGGCTTAGCTTTCCTTCCCAGCTCGTTTCAAACCCCATCTTCTCTGGGCCACCTTTAGGGGATCCCTCTGCGCCTCCGCCCCTCACCCCTACCCCAGCCCCTGTCTCCTCCCCGCCTTGCAATCCAGCCCCCCATCCAGCGGGTAACAAGTCAAGTTCAGGGAAGCTGTTCTTTGGGGTCGCTCGCTCCCAAAACCAGTTGCGCCCAGAGGAGTGATGTGTAAGCCAATGTCAGTGCAAGGTAACAACAGCCCCTGGCGGGCGGCCAGCCCCTTTGTAATGCCTGTGAGCCCGGGAGACCGGGAGACCGTCCTTAAAAGTTGAAGCCAGGGAGCCAGGAAGTTGGCTGCACTGGCTGGTGCGTGGCTCAGGGTGGGGTAAGGGGATCGGGGGACCCAGGGCTCCGGGGGACAGAGCCGGGCTGCGAGCTGCTCTCCCAGTGGGGTTGGGGGGTGGGGGGATCCGGGGACCTGGGGCTCCAGGGGGATCCCGGGACCCAGGGGTGGGATGGGGGGATCCGGGGACCCGGGGCTCCGGGGGGATCCCAAGACCCAGGGGTGGGATGGGGGGTCCGGGGACCCGGGCTCCGGGGACAGAGCCCGGCTGGGACGCGCGCCGCCTCCCCTCTAACCGAGCTGTGCTCTCCCTGCAGGTGGCCCGCCGGCCGCTGAGCCCTCCGCGCGGCGGGGAGCCGCCCTGCACCTTGCCCGCGGCGGCCGCTGACCATGACCATGACCCTCCACACCAAGGCGTCCGGCATGGCCCTGCTGCACCAGATCCAAGGGAACGAACTGGAGCCCCTGGGCCGCCCGCAGCTCAAGATCCCGCTGGAGCGGCCGCTGGGCGAGGTGTTCGCGGACGGCGGCGGCGGGAAGCCCGTCTACAGCTACCCGGAGGGCGCCGCCTACGACTTCGCCCCCGCCGCCGCCGCGCCCGTCTACGGCCAGTCCGGCCTCGCTGCCTACGGCCCCGGGTCCGAGGCGGCGGCGGCGGCGGCAGCGGCGTTCGGGGCCAACGGCCTGGGGGGCTACCCGCCGCTGGGCAGCGTGTCTCCGAGCCCGCTGGTGCTGCTGCACCCGCCGCCGCAGCTCTCGCCCTTCCTGCACCCGGGCCAGCAGGTGCCCTGCTACCTGGAGGACCAGCCGAGCTACGCGGTGCGGGAGGCCGGCCCGCCCGCCTTCTACAGGTACCCAAGCCCCGGCCGCGTGGGGTGGCCGGGAGGGAGGGACGGGGGAGCCCGGATCCGGGGACACGGGGTGTGTGTGGGGGGAGCCGAGCTCGGGCAGGCACCGTGCACCCTGCACCGCGGATCCAGCCTTTGCGCCCCGAGGGCCAGCGCGCCCGCCGCCCGGCCGGCCGGGCTGCTCCGCGGACCTGGCTTTGGGGAGGCAAGTTCCCCAGCTTGGCAGCTTAAAAAAATTTCTTTTTCTTTTTTTTCCTTCTCCACCCTGCTGCTACTGTTTGCCCGAGAGTCAGATCCGAAACCCCCTGTGCTTCCTAACCAAACAAATAGTGGAAAACCTGACAAGGCAGCAGTCATTTGCGGGGAGAAACACGCCGAGGCCAGGGAACACACACACACACACACACACACACACACACACACACACACACACACACACACGGCGCTCTGAGTCCCGGTCCTGTCCGTCCCGCGCTGGGGTTCCAGGCCGCAGGCGGCCGGGGGCTGGGGGCGTCCTGTGATCTGTGTTTGGTGATGTCAGCCTCTGAAGGTGCTGAAAGTTCCCTTTCATCTGGGATTGAAAAGATGATGAGGATGTTGATGATGATGATGGTGGTGGTGGTGATTTTGGGGGCAGCGATTCCTAGCAGCTCCTGTCCTCCTCCGGGCCCTGAGTTCAGGGTTTGACCGACCTCAGAGGGCAGAGAGGAGTTGAATGCATCTTAGGTTCCTGGGTTCCCAGTTCCCTAGAGGGTCCTGGGGAAGCAGGTTGCTGGAATAAGACCCAGGACAGCCAGGTCTGTGCAGGCATCCTAGGAGTTTGAAACTTGTCATCTGGAAGCAGGAGTGTTTTTAAAAGCGTATTTCAGGCCCACAGCGCGAAGAAGGCCCGGGAGCCGAGCGGGGTTCGCTGCTGCCCCTGTCTGTCCGTCTGTCCGTCTGCCTGTCCCTCCGTCTTTGTGGGAGAAGCCTCGCCGCCAGGGCTCACAGGCACGCTGTGGCTCAAGTAGCAAATGCTTAGTGTCCTTGTTTTCCCCTCTAGTAGCGGATATACACGGTCCTCCTGCCCCTTCCTCCCGTTTTCGCTTTGATAGTTTCTCCCTTCCCGCCCCGGTGGACCTGGACAGGGTTGGGTGGGTGTTTGTGATGAATGGCTGCCCTGGGCCACACGGACAGGGATGCCCTGTCCTGGGTTGGGAAGCCTCAGGGCCCACGTGGTGGCCGGTGCTGAGCTAGGCAGGGCCTGTCCGGCTGTCAGGTGCGCCTCCTCCCTCACCCCAAGCCTTCTGCATGCAAGCTGCGGCCCTTTCTACGCAGGGCTCTGTCTCCAGAGAAATCTATAGCGGAGGACCCAGAAGGAGGGTGCATTCTGGTCCGGAGGATGCCGAGGGCAGGTTTTTGGGGTGTCAGGCCTTTTCCCCTATCCTTCTGCCCCCTTCATGATGTTCAAGCACCTCGCAGCCAGGCAGGTCTGGCCCGAGTTATCACTTCAGAGACAAGCAGGCAATACTTTCAAAACTTGAAAAAGAACCAGACTTGCCAGAGATATAAAACCCATGTCCCTTTGTTTTATTTTAGGGTTAAAATGAAAAGGGAAAAAAGAAGTGATTCTGCCCACTTTATTAAAAAAAAAAAAGTGTTAGAACAAAATACAGCGATTACATCTAATTCACACGCATTTTTAAAATGCCTGGATGCGAAGGAAGGCTCTGCGTGAGGGTGTGGATTCCATCACCTTCGGATGGACTCCAGAAAGTATTTTCTTTCCCATTAATTTTCAGTTCTTTTATTGCAAATTAATGCCTCCGAATTTCAATGGGCGCTAATGAGAGCGCTCCTCCGTGGGTTATTTACTGCCTTGCTGATAATTGCGAAGTGAGAGTGGTCAAATGAGAGGGGGATCCCATTTATTCAAAATTGTTCCTCACCCCAGAGGCAAATCATATCCTTAGAATGGGCCCCATCTTAAACTTTTTACAACAGGCAACATTCAGATACTTTTAGAGTATTAAAAAAAAAAAAAAAAAAAAAAAAAGACAATTTTTTTTTTAAAGTAAAAATTTCACGCAAGTAGGATTCTTTGCGGAAATTTAGTTTTAGAGTGGTTTTTCCTTCGTGGTGTATTTCCCATAACCTCCTTCCTCTTTTGTTTGAATCCTGCCTCTCATTACCCAGCGAGGAAGAGAGAGGTCTATGCGAGTGTTTATTTAATATTATTTAAAATATTAGTTAATATTTTCCCCCTTTGAATAGCACAGGGTACAATCAAAAGGATAAATGAAAACTGTATAGGGAACTTGAACTTTCTTCAGGAGTGATTAAAAGTTTTGGAGGGTCAAAAGCAGTGTTTTCAAAGTACTTGTTATGACCTAGAGAGTCATGACATCCGTTTAGTGAGTCTAGAGCATTTTTTTAGGGGAGTAAAATGGAAAAGGACATAATAGAAAATATCACAGTGCATAATATTGGGTAGGGTGGGTTTTGTTTCCTGAAAAATATTGTTTTAATTATACCTGCTGTGTGTGCCCACTGTGATGTAAAATGTATTTCTTATTGAGGATTGAGGCCAAAGACATTTGAAAGCTATTTCCCTAAAATGTTATGTTCAGTTAGAAAACAAAAAATTCAGGTTAAGAGCTTGGTGGTTTCATTTGCAGACACCAAAAAGCTGTTTTGATTTTTTTTAATTTTATCTCTTTCCCCACCCCCATTCATTCGTTGGTGACTTTAGATCAGTTAGATGAAGCTTTACTATTTTTGAGAATTTATTTGAAGTGCACATTCTTCAGCATAAGGATGCTATGGTTACTTCCTTCTATTGGCCACACTGTGCAGCCATTGTCTGAAGCAATGTGACAGCTAAAACTGCCCTGGGCATATACTAATGTGAGAAACATTGTCACATATCCCAGCCAATTGTTATTAAGAGGAATCCAGGTATAAATAGGCAAGCTGTGACTTCCTTCCCAGGATGTGCCTGCCCTATCATTGCATGATGAAGGCAACTGGGACTCATCTCATCCTGGGTTTCTTTTTCAGAGTCCAAACCACTTAGGAAAGTTGGACCAAACTAAAGATGAAACTTAATCATATCCACTAGGATGGTTAAAATTCTAACGAGGTATTTAATGTCCCATGTTTATTTCAGTTGTATTACTCAATATTCCTAAAGGCTAAATATTGCCCACTGCTCCAAATTACTTGACAATTACACAAACCCTGTGCATCAGAGTCAGTGCCCTGGTAATTTGTACACTATTACACCACTGCGTGTTTGGCTGGCTCTCCTGTCCACGGGTGACCACTTAAAACTATTTCTTAACTTTGAACAAGGCTCATCTCCAGGAAGAGATTTTAATGGCTAATTTTCAAGTTTCCAATAATTATGTCTTTCTATTTCGGTGATATTTTAGCACCCTTTCTTTTCTTACTTTTTTTTTTTTTTTTTCATTTGCTGAAATTGTTACTGCTCACTCGGCATGTTGTGTTGGCCTCAGAATAGTTCAAGGAGCTGCATTTTGCCTCGAGAATGAGTGTATTTTCGGTTGAGAATGGAATCATGTCTTCAATCCCCATTTCATTTTCACCTACTCCATGGGGCTTGTATCTGTCCGCTAGAAACCTCCTGAAGGATAATTGGCACTTATTCTAATTTTTTTTCTCACAGTCAGTTAATTTGGGTGCTCAGATTATTTTTGTGAATATATTTAGGCTATGACGTTCATATCCAGAGAATATTCAGGTTTGGCATTTGGGTTTCTTATTGTTTTAAGGGTATAAAAGACAGGGGCAAGAAATGGCAGGAATAATAGCTATTGGGAAAAATGACAGAGATGTCAAGCTTTCTGTTAATGATAAGACATTGGTAATTTTGTCAAGTGAGATAGTATGTGTGAAAGCAATACATTAGCTGTCCATGCATTCAATATTTTGTTCACACGTTAATAATTGTTTTTGTGCTTTTGTAAGCTAGAAGATAGTTGGGAAGATTAGGCTGAATGTGGTGAGGAGCTTTACTATAAATAGAGATTGATGATTATATGAAATAATTCTCTTTGGCAACCAAATTTAAGTAAAATCTTCATCACCAACCTGCTTGCAGCCAGGGCTATCATAAAGACTATTTATCTTGTCCTGGCTGGGTAGTTCATTTGGTTAGAGTGTCCCATACACCAAAAAGGTTGCAGGTTCGATTCCCAGTCAGGACACATACCTAGGTTGGGATTTGATCCCCAGACAGGAGGCAACCAATTGATGTTTCTCTCTCACATCGATATTTATCTATTTCCCTTCCCCTCTCTCTTAAAAAAAATATCAATAAACATATCCTCAAGAGAGGATTAAAAATAAGTAAATAAAGGCAGTGCATTTTTAAAAAAAACAAACAAAAAACAACAACATCATCTAGAGTCACCAAGGTTGCTTGCGGGTTTGAACCCCTGTCAGGGCACACACAGAATCAATTAATGAATCAATTAATGAATGCATAGATAAGCGGAACAATAAGTCCATATTTTTCTTTCTCCCCTTTACTTTCTCTCTAAAATCAATCAATAAAAATAAAAAGAACATTTTTCTTTTAAAAAATATATTTTATTGATTTTTTACACAGAGGAAGGGAGAGGGGATAGAGAGTTAGAAACATCGATGAGAAAGAAACATCGATCAGCTGCCTCTTGCACACCTCCCACTGGGGATGTGCCTGCAACTCAGGTACATGCCCTTGACCAGAATCGAACCTGGGACCTTTCAGTCCAAAAGGCCTACGCTCTATCCACTGAGCCAAACTGGTTAGGGCAAAACCCCCCACCATTTTTCTTATAGATACAGTTTTAAAAAGTCCAGACCCTGATTATGTGAAAAGAGTCGTACACAAGGAATTTTAAGAGCTTTAATCGTATTTTTTTCTAAAATGCATACTCAGTACAAAAATAATACATGGAATGCCTGCCTGCGACTTCAGTATTATTTTTAACGTAACTTTAGAGGAACACAGTCGAGAG